TGTGTGTGTGTGTGTGTGTGTGTGTGTGTGTGTGTGTGTGTGTGTGTATGAAGAGAGAGAGAAAGAGGGAGAGAGAGAGAGACACATAGTTGGTTGTTTTCCTTTGTGCCGAGCGGACCAAAATGACATCACTATGTCAGAATCAAGGGCACAGTGGGTGACTGTGGCTGATCAGACCAATACATGCTTGAAAGGCTCTACCACAGGCCAGGCACAAATCGTCCATATGAACATTTGGAGTGGAGATGTCTCTAAATTTATGCATCTCATATTTCTTTTGAGCTACTGCAATTCTGCTTTGCTTATAGAGCACAGTGCCTTATTTGATGTGGGCACACCATGCTGGGCAATCCTGTGCCAGTGTCTCCCATGCCTTAATGATTGATTACAAAGTTCTTCAGAGAGACCTTGAGAGTGTACTTGTATCACTTCTTCTGACCTCCATGCGAGCCCTTGCCTTGTGTGAGTTCTCTGAAAAACAGTTTTTAGGCAAATGCACATTTGGCATTTGAACAATATGTTCAGCCCGTTGAAGTTGCACTGTCTGCAGTCGAGTTTAAATGCTTGGCAGTTTAGCTCAAGAAAGAACCTCAGTGTCTGGTACCTTACCTTCCCAGAGGATCTTCAGAATCTTCCTAAGACAGTTCAAATGGAATTGATTCAGTTTCCTGACATGGTGCTGGTATACTTTCCACGTTTCATAGGCAGACAACAATGAGGTCAGCACAACAGCTCTGTAGACCTTCAGTTTGGTAGGCAGTCAAATACCTCTTCTCTCCCACGCTTTCCTTTGGAGCCTCCCAAACACTGAGCTAGCCCTGGCAATGTCAACCTCATTGTCCATATGTACATGCCTTAAAGTACATTGCCAAGGTAAATGAACTTATTCACAGCATTCAAAATTTCTCTGTTTTCTGTAACTGATGGTTCTACATATGGAAGGTGCAGGCTGGGTGATGAAGAACCTCTGTTTTCTTGGTGTTGACTTTCAGGCCAAAATTAGCACAAGTGGCAGAGAATCAATCCATACTCTGTTGCATCTCAGCCTCAGAGGCTTCACTGAGTGCACAATCATCAGTGAACAAAAAGTCACACACCAACTCTCCCTCCATTTTGGTCCTGGCTTGTAATCTTTTCAAGTTAAATAATTCACCATCAGTGTAGTGGCTGACTTTGATGCACCATTGCAGAAAACATCCTGTTAAAAAGCATGGGAGCAAGCACACAGCCCTGCTTCACTGCCTGGTGACTGGGAAAGCTAGAGAGCCTCTTCCATGTTCCAGAACCTGTGAAAGTATGCATGCCATCATGGCACTGTTGGATATGCTGTACCTTGACCCAATATAGTGATGTTGTTTTGGTCCTCTTCAAGCGTGGACAACAACCAACCACATGTAGATGTATTATATAGACATATACTATACATGTGTGGATAGAATAAATAATACTGATTTATATAATATCACAAATTCAGACCATATTTCAAATCCCATTCAAACTTCTATCCTCCTACTTCACTTCACTTTCTACTTTCAGTGGAAAAAATATGATTACAATAGTTCTTATTATTCCTGGGTTCCACTTTCCACCTAAAGAGGCGAAAATAATAATCATACACTTCTACCAGTGCTTCTGGAAAAGCTGGGACGATCAGTGGCACTGTGGCTCCAGTCACTATCCAGTCCTTGTGATTTCCCAAAACCTTCCTTGCCCACCCCCATCCCCTACCCCCACTAGAAAGTAAGCCAGCTGCTGAAAGAGAATATTTGGCTTTGCATTTGTATCCCATCACTTAGCATAGTGTCTGGCACATAGTAAACACTTAATAAATGCAGTTCATTCATTTACAATTCTTGTACATGTGGAAAAACTGAAATAGAGATGGGAGCAATCTTATAATCAGTCTGGTGAATTTGCAATTGAATTATCCGGCTTTTGGATGGTCATTGATCAAAGACCTGCTTTGAATTTTGTTGAAAATGGTCTCAGTTTTCCTCTTCACTTTGGCTTTGTGGACACAGCTTTAGGATGTATTTGTTGGTACTGATACTTTATGATTTTAGACAGAGTAATGAGTTTTACTTAAAATATGTTAAAAATGAAAAATAAAAAGCAAACCCAATAGCCTATCTGCATTTGTTTCTTTCTGCCACAGGAGAGCATGTGAGTCAATAATTGGGGGCATATGCCCAAAGCCCCCAGTCTTCATAAATCGCCTCATTAAAAACAGATTCAATATTAATCTCTAGTTGAATAGGTTCTCTATTTGCATTCCAGCCCCAGTCTCTGGACAAAATAAGTATGATTCATGTTTTAAACAAAAGAGATTAGATTTGGAGTCAGGAGACAGATTGAATCTCTGCTCTCTACATAATAGCCCATGTAGCCTTTGGCAAATCACTTAATCCCTTATGCCTCAGTCTCCTCGTCTGTGAAATGAGGACTATAATTGGACCACTCCTTTTACAAAGTTGTTGTGATGATCAAATCAAATAATTCATGCAGCATATTCTGCCATTCATAGTGCTTTTTAAAAATGTTAACTGTTGTTATTTTCCACTGGCTTCTCTTCAAGATCAGTGGTTTCCAAAGGTTATTGATGACATTACCAAAAATTAGTTTTTGCTAAGTGTAAGTGATATCTTCAGAGCCCTCACAATCTGGCACTATTTTATAAGTTCAGCCTCATCTGAATCTAAGGCCATGCTACAGTCAATTTGATTACTCTGTCCCAAGCCCCACCAATATTTTCAGCATCCCTTGCCTTTGCTAAAGATCTTCTCTATGCCAGGAATGATATACAATCCTCCATTTGGATCCCTTGCCTTTCCTCATCCCTATGTTCTGGATCCTTCCCCACCCCCTCCTGCCATCCTCCCCATGATTCACAGTACTTGGCTTACACTTTTCATATGCATTTATTGCATATATAATTTTGTATGATAGTTATGTTTGTATTTTGGTCTTTCCTTACTAGCTGGTGAATCTCATGAAGGCAAGAACCTTGTCTTATTTAATAGTTTATTTCCCCCAGAAACTAGCACATAGTTTAAAAAAAATAAAGTGGTGTGTGTTATTGTTGACTGTCTACCTAATTCATCGCAGTAAAATCCATCTGCTTTTCAGATAGTTTTCTTCTTAATGGACATCCTACACACCAAAAATAAAGTCTCCTGGTGGTAGTGGATGAGCCTATTGTTTTAAGTCAGAGAGCTCTCTGTTAAATTTCAACTTAAGCTAAATGGTGCAGGAGGTGGTAACAAAAATATGAGACCCCAAGGTATTAGATGAAAAGGCTCCTATCAGCTCAAGATGGGGAGGATGCTGGATCCCAGACAGGCCAGGTGGCTTGCATACTGTTTATCTGCCTTGTTGCTTAGTTGCCAAATAAAGTTGAATAATTTTTAAGCATCTGAGTGAGTGCTCTGCCTCTGGTGGACACCAGACAAGATCGGTTAGCTTCTTTACATTACTGAGTCTGGAATATTTAGACAGCTGGAACTTTTTGCAAAGCAAAATCTCATTACCATAGATGAAAAGACACATGAGGGAAAAATCCAACAGTCTCCTAGAATAATATTCTTGGGTTGGACTATTTAAGTGAACTTTGAAAAACTGAGTTCAGCAACACCATCAGAAGGGCTCATGAAATCAATACCAACTTTTTTGGCTCTGTTCTTCCAAAAGACACAATTAGTCCAAGGATTTCTGTCATCTTCCTCACACTAAAAGACCAAATATGTTGGAGAGAAAGAATTTTAAATCATAATCAGGTATAAGACTTTCCTTAGCACAAGGGATCAGTTCACATCTTTCTGCAGGAAGCTTGATTATCCTTAATGTGGTGGTTTATTCAATAATCTCTCATGGTTATGTTTCCATCTCATTTGGAAATTAAGCTCCTACAACTCATTTGATGGCCTATGGTTTACTAACAGCTGTGCTTCATAGGGGCCTCCTCATGGAAGCAACTGGGGGTGACTGTGCATGTAGCTGTACATAGTGGCCCTGGTCCACAAGAGGTATCTAGTAATAATGCCACCACCTTTTTAGCCTAGGGGAAAGGGACTGAAGCTGAGAGCAGAAACAAATCACAATATTCCTCTTTTCAAAGGCTTCCTTTCCATCTCCTTAGCCTGACGAACTATGTCTGTGGAACTGCTCAAAATGACTAATAGGCCTTCGTTTATTCATTCAACAAACATTTTCTAAATATCTAGTATTTACTGAGCATTGGGTTAGGCACTGAAGGGGACACAAAATTCACACGATAGATCATTGGATTATAAAATAATAGACCTACAAAATATGTTATCTTTCCATCCAAACATAAACTTCCCCATTTCTGTCAAGAGCACTGCCATATTTTTTGTTGCCTGAGTTCCTGACCTCAGTTTCATCCTCACTCTTGCTCCCCTCATATATCCAACCAGTCGTCAAATCTTGTGGCAATGTCTCTTGAATGCATCTCCCTTGACACCACTATATTTCAAACTCTCATCACATCTCGCCTGCCTCATTATCGGTTTCCCTAACTCCAGTCTCTTCCCTCTCCAAACAAGCCTTCACACTGCTTCCAAATGGGTATTCCTAAAACACAGATCTGACCATATCACCTACCTACCTCCAAAATTTCAGTAACTCCCTATTGCCACTGACATAAATTACAAAGCCCCCAGCCTCCTTATAAGTTGGCTCCCATCTACCTTTTCAATCTTATTTCTCATTCCTCTCCCTCACAGATTCTGCATCCCCATCAAACAGGTCTGCTGGATACTCGCTATCTCCTGCTTTGCAAAAGTGGTCCTCCACCTCTGGAATATACTGCTTTTCACTTCCACCTCAAAGAATACCTTCCTTCAAAATGAGACTTTTTTTGATCTACCTCTTAGAAAATATTTTACAAGTACTTTATGTTCTTATATAGATGTATCCCCAATAGAAGATAAGCCCCTTGAGGGCAGGTACTATTTTGTTTCATTAGAACACAAAGCAACCCTTGTATGTAGTAGATGCTTAATAAATTTTGAACATAATTGAATTGAACATTTAGCCTGAAAGAAAAAAGACTTAAGGGGCTTATTAATTGTCTCAAAGTATTTGAAGGGCTGTCATGTGGGAAAAGAGCAGCTAGGTGGCGCAGTGGATAGGGTGCTGGGCCTGGAGTCAGGAAAGACATCTTCCAGAATTCAAATCTGGCCTCAGACACTTACTAGCTGTGGGATCCTGGGCAGGTCATTTAACTCTGTTTGCCTCAGTTTCCTCAACTGTAAAATGAGCTGGAGAAGGAAATAGCAAACCACTCCAGTATCTTTGCCAAGAAAACCCTAAATTGGGTCACAAAGAACCAGACGCAACTAAAACAACTCAACAACAACAGCATATGGAAAAGGGATTAGATTTACTCCACTTGGTCACAGAGCAAAACCAGTGACAGGGGGGTAGAAGTTACACAGAACCAAATTTAGGCTGGATGTAAAGGAAAACTTCCTAGTCATTTGAGCTATCGCAAAGTGGAATGAACTGCCTCAAGAAGTAGTGGATTCTTCCCCATTGAAATTCTTCAAGCAGAGATGGGATAAGGACTTGTTAGTCTTCAGTTTTACCCCAGAGAGGTCTTATTCAGGTGCGCATATTGCGCTAGCTGGCCTCTGAGGTTCCTTCTAATTCTGAGTTTCTTTGATCTTATAATTAGGCTATTAAATATAGTACCTTATTTCTCATCTTCATGCCTTTGCACTAGTTGTCCCCAGTGCCTGAAATGCCTTTCCTCCTTCCCAATGCCCCTGAGAATCCTTAACTTCTTTTAAGACTCATCTCAAACATAGGCTACACAAAGCCTTTCCTAATCTCAGCTGCTGGTGTCTTCTCCTTCAAATCACCTGGTACCTTTTTTTTTTTTTTAATTATACCTCTATGTGCACACACTGTTCCTCCCAACAGAATCCAGGCTCCTTGAGGGCAGAAATGAAATTATTTTTAGCTTGGTATCCCCAGTACTTAGTACAGTGCCTGGCACATAGCAGGTGTTTAAAGAAGTTTGTTGACTGAATGATAGAGCTATTTGAAAGAGGAATGGGCTGCTTTAATTCCCTCACTTCTAGTCTTCAAATAAGGATTGGATGATCCCTTTTTGGGGATCTTGTAGAAAGGATTTTTGCTTAGGCCTACATGGTTTCTTTCAATTTTGAGATTCTGAGAATAGATATTATTCTCGTAGGCAGCTAGATGGCACAGAAGATAGAATACTGGACGTGAAGTCTTGAAGACCTGAGTTCAAATCCTACCTCAGACACCCTTAGTAGCTATGTGACTGTGGGCTAACCACTTAACCTCTATCTGCTCCAGTTTCCACAGCTGTAACATGGGAACAATGACAGCACCAACCTTACAGGGTTGTTGTGAGGATCAAAGAGAGAACGTTTGTAAAGTGCTCATTTTCTCTTATTATCTCAGTCTTGGACTTGAGAGATCACTTACGAGATTCTGATCCTTGGACTTTTAAATTTTTTTGTCAGAGAAGTTCCACAGAACTGTTTGTAGGCTGGTGAATCCTCATTTTTGTTTGGACGTGGCCTGCTTCTAATAAACATTTGTCACTCCCCAGCTGGTTAGTAGCGAGAGGCTAAACAGAAGACAAATCAGGCTGTTGTTGGTAAGGTCAGCTCCATCTCAATAATGCATGGAATGGCCGGTCTGGTATCTCTTAAATATTTATCCGTCTACTCTGCTTTATAACAGCAAGAAGGTGAGACGGGATACAGACCGCAGAAGAGCTTATTAAACCTAGTAGTTAGTCATCTCCTCTTCTCACCCTGTAAATAAAGCCTTCAGAGACGTGCTCACTAATGAGTCCTCCTGCTCATCAGGGAACGTTCAGAACAATGGGAAAGCCTTCAGACGCTTCACTTATGGTTTCACATATTCACTGTGCACCCTGACAATTCATCACGGCTCAAATTACTTTCTGCTCCCTGGTGACGCTCCCTGTCCTGAACTGGCTGCTGCTACCTCCTGCTGAAGGTCTAAGCAAGAAGACGCAAACTCCTCTTTCAAAAAAAAAAAAAAAGGACTACCAGACCTTTTAAAGACAGAGGAACACCTAGTCGAGGTGTTCCCCCATATGTAATCTGGAAAACAGAAAGAGTCTCAAAAAGGAGAGGTTTTGGAGAAGTTAGCAGTCAAGCAACACAAGGACACTGGGAGGATCTCCCTTCCATCTACACTTGTAAGTGAAACTATTCTCAAAACCCAATTGTAGGCCAAGGATTCTTCATCTGTTTTTGTGCAACAGACCACTTGTGCGGACTGGCAAGGTTGACGGATCTCTTATTAGGATAATGGTTTTAAATGCATTAAATGAAATGCACTGGGTTACAAAGGAAACCAAGTATATTGAAGTACAGTTATAAGCATACGTTATTTTTTTTTTAAATCATGTTCATGACCCTTCAGTTAAAAATTTCTGGTGTAGACAATGTAGGTGGCTGGATTCTTGGTAAAAATCAGAGCCTCATTGTCACAAACTCTTGAGTTTTGAGTCGCCCTCATCCATGAGAAGAGACACGTAAGAGTACCTGCGGCCCTTGTTCAGTCTGGACATCAAATGGGTCTCCAACGAGTCTCTTCTTGGCATACTCTACGCTCCGCTTGACAAATTCAAGGTAGACCTGTTCTTCCACAAACACTCGGGAAGCAGCTGTGCAGCACTGGCCTTGGTTAAAGAACACTCCCTGGTGGGCACACTCTACTGCCAAATCCACTAAAAAAAAAAAAGCCCAGAAAAATAATATGAGAGAGAGAGAGAGAGAGAAGAAGGGAGAGGGAGAAGGAGGGAGAATCTGTGATCCAATGAACTAGGACCAACCACTGCAGCAAACTGTTGCCTCAACTGTAAGCCCCATGATAGGGGAGGCCACATCTTATCGAAGCATTGCAATTAAAAGACAGAAAGCTGCTCTCTTTACATCAGACCCTTCATTAATGTTTGTTATATTGAACTACATAGGAGAGATCTCTAGAGGACTTGCTTTAGGAGATAATAATGAAAACTGGTGTATTATTTGTATGCAATCCAATACTTCTAATGTAGCTAAAAACCATTTAAATAAATGTTTCCCTTAATCTTTGTTTTAAAACACAATTACTTTGCTTAGCAAAGTCTTCAATGGTAAAATGCCAAAGAAAGTGGCACAGATAATTTCCTGGTTTCTCAATGGAGAAATGGGACCAGATGTTCTGAGGACTTACTTCCTCTCTAGTCAGAAGTACAGAGTTAGCCCTCTCTAATTTGAAAAATGAAGCTCAGAAAGTTTTCATGGAGCAGCACAGCTCCAGAACTGCATTTAGGAGCCTCTGAACATGGAAACAGCACTCTTCTGCAGGCCCCTAAGCCAAATTGAAATGCCCTCCTTCTAATGCAATGAATTCCTGCTTTTGAGAGAAGCTGGGGTAGGGGATGGAGGAGAAGAGGGGGTTAAGTCTACTCTGGTATTTTTTTTTAGGTTATATCATGCCTCAGATTCCAATTATGTCAAGAATTAATTATATGGAATTTCACAGACAGCCGGCATGTTTATGACTGCTTTCCCCTCCCCCATCAGTGTGTGGGGGGGGGCAAAGGGGGGGGGAGGAGAAGCCCTGTATGTTAAGTTTAGTAGAAAAAGGAAAAGCTGAGACTTATGACCCTGACGTCAGACTCTTGTTGACTTTCACTTCTATACTCCAATTTTTGAGCTACAGGTAAATGAAAGAAAGTTGAGGGCTGCCCTGGGTGTATATAGAAACATCAGCAACGGTCGCAGGGCTGACTCCAAGCAAAATTTATCTCCACTCCTCCCAGTTTCACCCTTCTGCACCCTCTCCTATCTCCTGTGGTGCCTCCTTCCCCTTACCTACCAAGTGTCTTTCCTTCTACCAAAATCTACTCTCTGAAAAGGATCTGATACCAGCCAGTTACACAACCCTGAGTCAGAAGTCAGTATGATAACTCTCCCAAGGGTATTTGCATTTCAAACCTTATCTCTAATCAGGGAATGAAAGCTTTTATCCCCTAGTAAAGTAATTTCTGGCATCAGTGAACACAGGGAGTAGGTTCTGGGAGGCTGATGGCCTTCCTGTTCTCCCAAAACCATAGGATGAAGGCAAAGGAAACTATGTTGACCTTACAAAAAATTGTAAAAGATCCATGGTGCCTTTCTATTTTCCCTTTTTGACTCCCACACTGATATGTTGTTTAGTTGCTGCCAACAGGGTGTGGTGCCTGGTAAACAGATCTCTATGATGGAAGTGACAACAGGACAAAGTAAAGGATGCTGACCTTGGTTCAAATCCTGCTTCATACGTGTAAGTAGCTATTCGACCACAGGCAAGACACTCTCACCTGTTTCCTCATCTGCATTACTTGCTCTAATAACTTTACTGGCTTGTTAGGGATCAGGAAGAGGCTCTATATAAACTATAAAGTGCTGTATAAATGAGTTATCACTATCATGATAGTGATACACAGTTTGACTCTCATTCACCTAATAGATCTAAAGGGCTATTGTAACTCAGATCTGACCTAACAGGTGCAAGGAAAAAAAAAACTATCCTTCCTTAAGAGAGAAGAAAAATACCATTGGGAAAAGCTCAAAGACTTTGTAGTCCAAAAGATACTCACAATCAGCATCAGCACAAACAATACATGGATTTTTCCCTCCAAGCTCTAAAGTTACTCTTTTTAGATTACTTTTAGAAGCAGCTTCTTTGATGAGCTTTCCAACCTGAAAGTGAAAAGGAAAAGTTTAGACCGCTTTCAGCATTACCAGAGAGTAATGGAGGACATGAGAGGTTCTAATAGAGGAACATGAGTTAACCAAGTGATATGGTAGCCCCCCAAAGCTAATGCAATTGTAGGCTGCAATTAGTGAGTGAAGTGGGTATAGAAATTGAATTAGTCAGGAAGATCTGAATTCAAATCTTGCCTCAGAAATGTACTAGCTGTGTGACCCTGGATAAGTCCCTTAACACCTAGCAGTCTGTTTTCTCATGTGTAAAATGGGGATGGTAGTAGCAGTGACCTCACAGAGTTCTTGTGAAGATCAAATAAGATAGTATGTGTAAAGCCCACTGCCAATTTTACAGCTCTATATATTAGTTATTATTATAGCCTAACTATACTCTGCCCTGGTCAGAGCACATCTGTAGTGCTGTGTTCTGTTTGGAGCACTGTATTTTAGAAAAGATCTACTACACAAACTAGAACACATCCAGATGAAGACAAATCTCAAAATCGTAACAATAAATACTATGTACTCATGCTTCCCTGATGCCAGTCTGGGATTCATCATTGTCCCAAGGTTGAGGTTCCTTTTCAAACACCTATCCCTGACCCCTGCATTAAACTTACCTGTCTTATCTATCCTCTTCCCTCAGGACCGTGTTCTCTGTTCACTAAAGTGTTCATCAGAACTAATGTTTCCGTCCTCTTACTTCTACATTAAAAACGAAGCTATTAGGAAGTAATGCTTTAACATAATGGAATGAGTAAGGCAGCTTAGGTGATGCAGTGGATAGAGTGCTAAGTCTGGAGTCAGAAGACTCACCTTCCTCAGTTCAAATCAGGCCTCATAGGCTTACTAGCTATGTGACTCTAGGCAAGTCACTTAATCTCTGTTTGCCTCAATTTCCTCATCTGTAAAATGAGCTGGAGAAGGAAATGGAAAACCACTCCAGTATCTTTGCCAAGAAAATGGGATCACAAAGAATCAAAAACAAGTGAACATAAATAATAAAAATGGAATGTCATAGTTTTGAAGGGCTATCTTATGAAAAATGAGTAGACATACTCTGCTTGACCCCAGAGATCAGAACTGAGACCTTAGTGGAATAGTGGAAGTTGTAGAGAGGCAAATTTAAGCTTGTTATAAGGAAGATATTTCTATCATTGGAGCTATCCAAAGTTTAAAAGACCTGCCTCCAAGGTAGAGGTTCCCTTTATGGGAGGTCTACAGGTAAATGCTAGATGGCTACTTGTTAAGATGTATTATAGAGGAGGTTTTTTTTTTCCAGGACTGGGTTAGATTAGATGACCTTTAAAGGCTCTTTAAACTGAGATTCACTGAGTCTGAGGTGGGAATTTCAGACAAGCTGGTGGCAGGGTGCTGAAGAGAATCTCACCTTGACAGATACAAAGATTGCACTAAAAAGAACCACCCATGCAGGCAGTCTCCTGTCTTCACATATGCAAAAAGATGGTTTTGTGTATTTGTGCCTGAAAGGATTATCATAGCGGGCTAGTTAATAATGGCAGCTAAAATTTAGACTAAATAATACCCAAAGCCTGAAGAGAAACAAGTAAATCACAGAATACCAAGTGAGGGAACAGTTGTATTTGTGAATGATGAAGGCATCTGAACACAAAAACAAGAGAAAAAAATGTAGAATAAGTTGTGTTTTTTTTAAAAAAAGGCAAAAACCATGCAATAAGCCTGTCTAAGACAAATGACAGATTATTCAACTCTCATATCCTGTTTATATTTAAGCATATTTTCAAGAAAAGGGGTTTCCAATCTGCCATGTTAAATAGAAAATACAGACTAAACAACTAGGAATAGAGGAACTGGTTATCTTATTCTCTCAGAAAAGAAATAAAATCCTTGAGAATAGAGATTGTTTGGTTTTTTGCATTTGTATTCCCAGCACCAGGCACACAAGAGGTATTTGATAAATACTTGTTTGCTGATTATCTTAATCACTAGTCTTAATGTTAGAAGAGGTCATTCTAAGGAAATGCTTGCCAAGTTATATAACACTTAGCAGTAAGGTGTGATCTCCTAAACAGAAGAGGTCAATTAACCCAACCAATTTCTTCCGTAGAAAGGCATAAAACTTAAATAAAATATGAGGTTGTAGGTTTGCACAAAACTGGGTCATGTTTACATTTGTCTTTGTTAAGAAGAAAAGTTTAGTATCGTGATTGGGAGCAGTATAACTGCATTTGAAACACCAGCATGCCCATGGATCATGGCCCAAATGAGATCTGGAATAGTTCTCAGGTGAGGATGTTTCTACCTAAGGAGAACAGCCAAAGAAAAACAGGGCTTACATAAGTGAATTATTTATGGGTGGTGTTAAGTACATTCTTATAGTGGAACACACTTAGGATGACATCTTAGAAGAAACAAACCAGAGAAACCAAAGCTTGCTTCTAGAGATAAAACAATTCAATGGATCACCAAACTCATCCTTTAAACTTAAAATACTAAATAGTAAAAGTACATTTGCATATCATCATCATCATTACCAGCTAGCATGTTGTATAAAAACAGGCATGTCTCTCCCTTCATAACCATTTGGATACTCCTCTTTCTCTCAGAGAAGATGAAGAATATTCAGAGTGGAATCATATTTAAAGCCCTTTCCAACCTAGCACCAGCCTGATTTTCTCAACTTCTTTCATACTACTCTCCTTCATGCATTCTAGCCAAAATGGCCTCCTCACTGTTCCTCAAACTTGGCATCCCGTCTCCCACCCTCATGCTTTTGTATAAGCTGTCCTCCAGTCATGGAATGTCTTTGTTTCTTGCCTCCACCTGTTGGAATCTCTCTCTCTTCCTTCAGGACTTGGCTCAGGTATTACCTCCTCCACAAGATTCTCCTCATCCTGCAAGCTAATCTCTCTGCTCTCAAGTTTTCTTGTATTTACTTATGTGTGTACTTGTAATCCCTGGATATAATGCAAGCTATTAGAAAGTAGGGAATATTTTTCATATTTTGTCTTTGTAACTCCAGTCCTGTAAGAGACAGTGTGGCATAATAGATAGAGAATTGGCTTAAAAGCCAGAAAGACCTGTGTTCAAAGCTCACCTCTGACATATATTGGCTATTTGACTTAGGGCAAATCACTTAACCTCTCAGTGCCCTGAGCAATGAAGGCCATACAGCTGAAGAACCTGTGCTGCCCTACATTGACAGAGGGAATCCCCTCACATGGGAGTTCCCTCTTCCAGTGAAATTACAAGTCCATCCCCCATCTCCACTCCTAGCACAACGTCCTACACATAGTATGTGCTTAATGTTAATTGCTTGTTGAATTTAACTATTAAATGTTTGCCCTAGATAGATGATTATTAGAAATAGAAATTGAAGTGATTTTGCAGCTTTGAAATAAACAAGTAAATTAAAGCATTTATAAACAAATCCACCTAAGCAAAAAAAAAAATCTGGAAAAAAAGAAGAAACTGAAGGACTGTTGAAGCTTTTGTGAAGTGGTAGAAATAAGGCTAGATAAAAATAGGACCTAAAAATGCACATTTCCATTTCTATGATAGAAGACGTAATACTACTGTCTTATCCAGGCTGGAAAATCACAGGATTATAGGGTTAGAGTTGGAAAGGACCCTTTGATGTCACCTAGCTTTACCTTCATGAGGTAACTGAGGCCCAGAGAGATCAAATAACTTGACCAACATCAAAAAGCTAGTGAATGGCAGAGCTGGAATTCAAATTCAGGTCCCTTCATTCAAAATCCAGCATCCTTTCTCCTGTACCATGCCACCGCCATTGAAATAAAAAGGAAGAAGAAGTTCCTTGGCTGAACTATATTAGAATATTTTTTAATGAACAATATATTTTAGATTTATACTTAGCTTGGAGACACATCAGGAACTTTTAAACTACTAAAACATCTTCACACTAACATAGAAAATAATCTAGCCTCCCAATCGTTTAGAACATACAGATCCTTCTTTATTACATTTTTGACAAACACCAGTATTTGGAGGCAGGGAAAGCATACCTCTGTTGATCCAGTGAAGGCTATTTTGTCGATCTTAGGATGTGAAGAAATAGCTGCTCCTGCTGTCGGTCCATAGCCTGGAACTATGTTCACCACTCCTGGAGGGAATCCCACCTAGAAAGTAACCAAGATGGTGTTACAAAGAACTACTCAGAGCCCAGGTGGGACCATGGTAACTGACTAACCCAAGGATAGAAAGGACATTGACTGGCATTACAGTGTTTTGTGTAGGCTTGCTAAGAGGTACTGAATTTTAGGAGATCATCAGGCAAGGTACAAACTAATTCATGTCATCTTTTGAAATATAAGGGAGCACATCAAACTTAGGTTATGTTCCATATACCATGGAAGTTGACTGTATCCTATTTTCATGGAGCCCTGAACACCATTCATGGAAGTCTGTTCTGTTTTGCACATTCATTCATCTAGGAGGCATCAAAATCACTTTGAGATCTTCTAGTTGGCTTAGATTTGAAAAAAAAATTATAAAAAAGGAAAAGACTTGTCATGTTGCATGATATTTTTCAAACTTCCCTATTAAATATGAAGAGCCTTAGCCAGTGGTGTTTATATGTAGTACTTTAATAATAGCTAGCATTTATATGGTGCTATCTAGCATTTTATACAGTTTATATGGCATTTGCAAAGCCTTATTATCTCATTTTAACCTCATAACAACTCTGAGAGGTAGGTGCTATTATTCTCATTTTATAGGTGAGAAAGCTGAGGCTAAGAAGCTATGGGACTGGTTCAGAGTTTGGTGAGTGTTTGAGATCAAATTTGAACTCAGATCTTTCTGGCTGCAGGGCTAGTTCACAACCTAGTTGCCTTAGCCTTACCTTAATTAACCCTAGAGAAGAACTTGAAGCATGTGCTCACAGAAAGGCTTAATTCCATGTTTCTCATGACTTTTTCTCTAGTTCATCATATAGAATTTCATTTATTAAATATCTGTTCTCCAGACTAACAATAAACAGAGCTATATACTGCCATATTTAAGGTCTAACTTCTGACACAAAGCCTTTTCTGATTTCTAGTCCCCAGTAATCCCTGCTTTCTTCCTCTTAAAATGACTTGTTATTTTGGATATGCTTTATCTCCATATATGTTATATACTCCCGGTAAAATGTAAGCTCTTTGAGGGCAGGACCATTCCATTTTTGCCTTTATATCTCCAGCACCTAGAACAATGCCTAGCACATAATAAATACTGAATAAACATTTCTTGAATTGAATTTTAGTTTTTTCATCTGCTTCTATGAAGTAGTTTACACTTCTCTTCAACTAGATAAGAAATGCCTTAAGGTCAGGGACAACATTTTAACCAATCAAAGAAAGGGAAGGTAACAACATTTATTAAGTGCCTAGTATGAGTCAGGTATTGTGTTAAGTGCTTTATGAATATATCTTATTTGAACCTCATAACACCCTTGCATGGGTAGTATAACAATCTTAATTTTAGGGGGGCAGCTAGGTGGCACAGTGGATAGAGCGCCGGCCCTGAAGTCAGGAGGACAAGAGTTCAAATCCAGCCTCAGACCAAACACTTGACACTTACTTGACCCTGGGCAAGTCAGTTAACCCCAGTTGCCTGAAAAAACAAACAAACAAAAAACAATCTTCATTTTATAGTTGAAGAAACTGAGGCAGAAGGTAGTTAAGTGACTTGCCCAGGGTCACACAGCCAGGACATGTCTGAAACTAGATTTTAACTCTGGTCTTCCTGACTCCAGGCCCAGTGTTCTATCCACTGAATCCCCCTAATTGCTCCCATCAATCAACAAGAAATTTGTTTTCAAGACATACTATATGTGTAGCACAGTCACTCTGCTAAATGGTAGAGATAAAAAGACAAAAAATGAAATCGTTCCTGCCCTCAAGGAGCTTACATTCTAAAGAGGAGAGACAAGAGGTGAATGCACACACACAATGTATGTATATACAAGATACATATACAGTGTATATGTATATACATCACCTAGAGAGGGAAGGAACTAGTAGCTGGGACATGAGGAAAGGCCTCAGAGAAACGACAGCGTATGAGCTGACTTTGGAAGGAAACCAGACAGGATAAGAGTCTGAAATGAGGAGAGAGAGCATTCCAGGCAAGGAGACCCCCAGGATAAGGCACAGATACAGGAGATGGATACATGTGAGGAAAATTAAGTAGGCCACTATGGCTAGACCATAGACTAGAGCATGGAGGAGAATAAAGTGAAAGAAGACGGGAAAGGTAAGAAGGATTTGGGTTGTAAAGAGCTTTAAATGCCAAGCAAAAGCATTTTTGATCCTAGGGATAAGAGAGGGCCAATGGGGTTAATTGAGTAGAGGGATGACATGGTTTGACCTGTATTTTAGGAAAATCTCTTTGGTGGCTATGTTGGAGGATGGATTGGAATGAGAAGAGACTTGAGGCAGGAAAATCAATTAGGAGGCTATCTCAATGGCCCAGGATCCTAGCATGGAGTCATGTACTTAATAGGCACTTAATAAATGTGTTGAATTTGCTGTTGTCATTTTCCAAATTGTGACAGAAGATAAAAATAACACTGGATAGAGTGTTCTTGATTTTTCAATGTATAGGATATGTCCTATGGTACGTATTACAATTAGATTATGCCTTCTCTCAATCTCATACACAGTGTCTCGATTATAATCAACTGAAACCATATATCATGTTAGTGTGATGCCAGCTATCTGCTTTCCAATGAATTACATATGTTGCCACAAAAATTAATGTGCTTAGGGTGACCACATTTGGGGAGATATAATGAGCTTTATCTTTACTTCCTCCAGAAGAGTTCTTAAAACAGAATTGATGGTTTGGAAGGCACAAGCTAAACAAACATGAATTAGGTCTCCAAACAACAGTACAAGGCCAAGTGAGAATCTGGTGAATTATGGATTATTTTAACCTAGTCTGTTTGTAACAATGTAGGCATGTCAAGTGCAACAGCAAAGCCAAAAACCTAAGATAGATTCCCAACCTCTTGTCCAAGGAAGAAAATAAGCATTTATTAAGTACCTAGTATAGGCTAGGCTCTGTGCTAAGCATGTTATAAGAACAAAACTAAACTAGCCTCTTCTCTCAATTCCTGATTTAAACATAAAGCCAGTAGACAAGTGCCCAAAATATGTTGTGAGATTTGTCTTTGAGGATATGCTTACTTCTCTGTCCTCAAAATGGCCCATAGAAAGACGTAGCTATTAGATGATTTGAGCTTCTAAATCAATGTCACCTGTATCTCTCATTATATAGGTGAAGAAACTAAGGCTTGAGCCAAGTGACTTTGCCATTGTCAAGGAGCTGATGGGGGGAAGGAAGGGAGAAAGGGAGATTCAGTTAGGGTCCAGGTCTCCTTATTCTGAAACCAGTGAGTGTTTTTCTCTGCTACATTACTTTTGCCCCTTCCCCCATCTCCAAACACAAATAAAACCCAAACCCAAATTACTTCAACTGAATATCAATTATTATTGAAGTCAAGACTTTGGTCTAGTAGGCTTGCTCTTGTGTGTTATGATTTCAGCCAGAACAAGCAATATTATATTAGATCATCCCCTCCAGATAGCTTTTCATCCCACAATGGCAAAGCCTGATGAACCTCCTACATATTCTGTTCTTTTTCTGATAACCTTCCTTAGCATTCATTCTCTTGTAAATTCACTAAGCAAAACATTTGGTTCTAAATTATTACATTGAACCCATAATAAAACTTAAGTGGCCTCATTAGCCTGACTGGAAGGAACAGAGTTTCTTCTAATTCGGCAACATGAGCAATGGAAAAAAATTAAGTTGCCAAGCAAAATTTAGGAAGTGATATCCTGCCCACTCAACTGTAAATAAGTTTGCAACAAAAGGTTAGGTAAATCTTGATTGGAGCAGTTTTATCTTGCTCCATGGCTCAGTTCCTAGAAGTGGATATGCTATCAAGGACACAAAATATTTTCTTTTGGACATCCTACCTCTTTGATCAAAGATCCAAGATAAAGTGATGTTAGGGGTGTCTGCTCAGCTGGCTTAATAACGATGGTATTCCCACAGCACAGGGCTGGTGCCATCTTCCAAATAAGCATCATCAATGGGAAGTTCCACTGAAACAAAGCAGACATTGTCTTGATATTGGCTCTGGAGAGAAATGATTTACACATCACCCCTTTCCCTTCAGTGACATCTACTGGCTAAGAAGGAAACAAAGAGTGAAAAGGAAGACTTGGGCAGGGGGGAGGGGGAGGGGGAACCTTTGGAAAATGGAACCATCATTTATGTGCCTGGACAATCATGGAGCCATTGTTAGGGTGGACTAATAATAGCCACAGCGGCAGTTTTAAACACCAGTTGGAAACACTCGTCTCTTTTAGTCTAATAGAACTTACCTTACAGGTTTGTTGTGAGGATCAAATGAGGTAATAGGCAATGTGCTTTGCCAACCTTAAAGCCCTGCACAAATACTCGCTGTTATTATTAGGCTTGATCTATAAAGGGTTAAAAAGTTCTATTGGCTGGTTCTTTTTTTTTCTTCATAGAATCCATAGTTCTAGAGCAAGGATTCTTAACCTGAGGTCAATGATTTTTTTTTAAATTGATAACGGTATTTTAATAGAATTGATTTCCTTTGTAATTATATGTAAAACTTATGTATTTTAAAACATTATTCTGAGAAGGGATCCATCCTGCCAGAGGGGTCAATGACACCCACAAAAATTAAACACCTCTGTTCTAGAGCTGGAAAGGGCTACAGAAGCCAGAAATGATTATGTGGGTCCTGATGACATGGAAAGAAATCAAATATTGTCAAGAGCCAGAGAGCCAGAAGGGAACTTAGTTAGAGATCATCTCATCCAAATCTTTAATTTTACAGATGAGAAAACTGAGGCTTAGAAAAGTAGAATGACTTGCATAAGGTCACACAGTAAATGTCAGAATCTATCCTCAAACCTAGTTCTAAATCTATGATGCAGGACAAACTCTTAAGTTCAGCATTCTTTCCATTACACTATGCTGCCTCTATGAACAGAATAATTTAATTTCTACCCCCTCTGCCCATGTCTCTCCTTTTCTCCTCCCTCTCCCCTAACCAACCAACCAAACCAAACAAAAAAAAAAAAAAAACATTTATTAAGAACCTACACTGTACTGAGCACTTAGGATATAAATACAAAAGTCAAAGTCCCCAAGGAGCTTACATTCTAAGAGGAGAGAGACTGAATTCACAATATGGGCTCAAAAAAGACACACACAAAGCAGCCTTAGGGTGAGGCTGGAGCAACCAGGAAAGATCTTGTGAAGAAGGTATTTCTTGTGCCAACTTGTGAAGGAAATCAAGAATTCCATGAGACAGAGGTGAAAGGGGAGAATGTTCCAGGTATGGGGGAGAGCCAGTTAAAAGGCATACAAAGAGGTGGGAGATGGAGAATCACATGTGGGGAGAAGCAAGCAGGAAAGATTGGCTGGATTGTAGAGTGCATGGAAAGAAGTACTATGTAACAAGGTCGAAAACCTAGGAAGGGGCCAGGTTGTAAAGAGTGTTAACTTCCAAACAGAAGAGTTTATATGGGTTCCTAAAAGAAATCAGGAGCCACTGGAGTTTATTGAGTAGGGATGAAATGTGGTCAGATCTGTGCTTTAGAAAAATTTCTTTGGTAGCTACATGGAGGATGATCACTTGGAGTGGGGAAAGACTTGAGGCAGGAAGACCAATTAGAAGGCCATTGCAATGATCTAGGCAAGAAATGATGAGGACCTTAACTTGGATATAGGTGAAGAAAAGAGATGTAGGCAAGAAATGTGAAGATAGAAAAGACAAGATTTGGCAATTGCTTGACTATGTGGGGTGAGAGTGACAAGTCAAGGAGGACATTAAGGTTGCAATTGTAGATGACTAGAAAGATGGTGGTGCCCTTGACAGTACTATATATGTTATCTCATTTGATCCTCACAACCACCCTGTTAGTTGCTATTATTATCTCCATTTTACATTTGAGGGAATTAAGGCTGAAAGATGGTGACTGACTCTGAGTTGGGTATTAAATATCTGAAGCAGGATTGGAACTCAAGGCTTCCTGATACTAAGTCTATCACTTTGTCCACTGACCATTGTACTACCTAGTTCCCTCTAATAGGGAAATGCTGAAGAGGGTTTGGGGGAAAGATAATGAGTTTTATATTGGATACGTTGAATTTGTGATACCCACAGGACATTCAGTTCTAAATACCAAATAGGTAACTGATTCTGTGGGATGAGTTCCCCAAGTGAGAGAGTATAGAGAAAAAGGCTTAAGACAGAACTATGGGATATACCCACATATATGGGAATGTGGGGGAGACTTGATAAGGAACCAGCAAAGGAGATTGAGAAGGAGTAGTTAGATGGGTAGGAGGAGAACTAAGAGACAAGAGCTTCACTAAAACCCAGAGGGGAGACAGGGAGGATAGCATGGTCAAGCGTATCAAATGATACAGAGAGATCAACAGGGATAAGGACTGAGGAAAAGACCATCAGATTTGGCAATTAGGTCCCTGGTAACTTTGGAAGCAGCAGTTTCAGTTGAGTGAAACCAAACGAGTTTTCCAAAATAGGACTATATTTGACCAACCTTACTGCATAGGCTCATTAAGTCCCAGGTAAGCAAAAGAACACCTTTCTATAACAGATCCCCAACGGGCTGAAGTAGGCGGCCACCTGTAAGGTGTGATTTGTAGTTATCTGGAGGCCCTGCCTTCATATAAATCATTCCTCCACCTACTTATCTTAGCCTAAAATTCCCACCATTAGAGTCACTAATGGATTAAACAACAAAAGAAAGGTATTGTCCTCAGGGGGTCATGGTCAAAATGCCATTAGAAGAGATTAGTTTATCAGATTAGCTAATTAATACCTTGGGCTTTGAGACTGATAAGATGGATAACATTTTGATATCTGAGAGGAAGTATGGCAGCCCCAGGGGCAGAAACCAGTGTGAGGTACCTGGCTAAGGATGGTAAGGTCTCCAAAGAATTGATCCAGATAAAACAGAAAGGCCAGGTGAGGGTAACAAAGGAAATAACAAAAAATAGGGTCAGCTGTAGATATTGAAATCTCCTTGTGAAGACCACATGTGAAAGAATAGCCACCTGGACATTTAATGTACAGGTTTCCTAGTAGGTAGCACATGTGGTTCTTACTAAATGGGAAATGATGTTTATATTTAAGTATACATTTAAATGTACCTGCCAGTGTTTCTGATTCCATTACTACTCAACGTAAAACTGTCTATTGATTTTAACTAATGCTGTCTCAAGCTATGGTGCCTCAAAGTTATTCTGTAATTTGCCACAATTGGCTTCGGACATAGTTTAATCACATTTCCTCATTTTATAGATAAGGAAACTAGATCTGGTAATGGAGGCATGAGGCCTAGGTTCCAAATCTACCTAGTCTCAGGCCTATGCCCTACAATAGCATGGCTGCCTTCCAGTGAGCTATGTCTCACACCTTCACACAAGAAAGTGAACACTTTCTCATTGATTAGAAAAGGATAAAGATAGGAACTGGAATTGTGATTTCATAATTATAGAGAACTCCTGAGGGAACTCCCTCTTCCAAAGCAGGTTGGCACCTTGTCTGCAACTTATAGTGACACTAGAGCAGTGAGAGGTTAGGTGCTTGTCCCAGGTCACACAGCCAGGAGTGTCAGAGTATGACTTGGACACAAGTCTTCCTAGCTTCAAGGCTGACTCTCTATCCTCTAAACCTCTAAATCTCTTATTGATTAGAATTTTCTCTAATTCACAAACTATTTATAGTTTTCTATTCAAGCCAGTAGCCTATCCCAATCATTCTGGAAAAACGGGAGGTCACCGCAACTGAGCCAATGTTCTCATGCTACCAGAAAAGAAATTAGAGTTTGATGCCTAACTTTCAGCTTTCAAGAAACCAGTTAGGTTGAACCATGCTACAGAGTTTGCAAATTTACTCAACTGAATAGAACTCTTCTCTCCCTTCAACATGCAGCTCAGAAACTACATGAAGCCTTTCCTGATTCTCCCAACTATGAGTGCCTACCCTCCCTAACTACCTTTTATTTATTGGTATTTATTCTCTTTTTCTTCATTCCAAATATATTGTTTCTCCAAATCAGAATGTCAAGTTTCCTTCAGCACCTACCTCAGTGCCCAATAAATGCTTACCTGACTGAAGAAGACAAAGTCTAAGAGTGGCTTGCTTTGGCCAATTGATTTTAGTTCAACAATAATAATTTACATCTAGATATCAATTTCCACTTTCCAAAGTACTTTATAGGCTTTACATATCATCCCCCTTGAACAAAGCAAAATTGCTGGACATTGGTTCAAAGCACTTGAGGCATAACATCTTTGGAGAAGTGAGAATACTCACAGGAATAATTGCTCCACATACACCTATTGGTTCATGCCTGGTAAAACACACAACATTTTCATCTGTAAGAGAAATGAGAGAGGGGAGAGGAAACACATGTACATATTAACCTGGGATAAAAATTCCAAGTGTTAAGCAAAATCTGAAAAGGATTCATGCGGACTATAAAAAGTTAACAGGAAGCAACTGGAGTTGATTACCGGGGGTATAATATGTCTGACTATAAAAAGTAATCCTTGGCTGAGCATGGTGGCGTACACCTGTAATCCCTGCTGCTGGGGGAAGCTTGAGGCTCATGGATCACTTGGACTCAGGAGTTCTGAGCTGCAGGAGGCTAAAGCCAATCAGATTTCTGCACTAAATCTACTACCAATATGATCAGCGCTGGAGAGAAGCGGACTACCAGGTTACCTAAAGAGGGGTGGACTGGTCAAAAATGGAGCTATTTAAAGATGCTGGGATGATGCACAATAGGACCCAGCCCTTGAATGGCCTCTGCCCTTACAGCGTGGGGGAGATAGGGGAACCCAATGTCCAAAAGTAAAAACAAAACAAACGAACAAAAAAAAAAACCACAGACATAATTTTTAGCTCAAAGTCACTTCAAAACCTCTCAAGAACAAAAGTTGTATCATAACTGAATGTTATTTTCCTTTTCATAGTAACAGCAGAGATTCTGTCTCAGAAACCTGGACCACGTGAGAAATGCAGAAGAGACTTTTCAATCCTACTCTAGCTTACCTGCTGGAATAGTTCTGCCATGTATCTTGTCTGCCCACCCTGCGTAGTATCTTAGTGTTTTGATACACCCCTCCAGGTCAATGAAGAAGGCATGAAGGAAAGGTTTTCCTGTGTCCATGGTTTCCAGAGTCTGTAACAGCAATAAAATGGCATGTCAGTTACTATCTCCAAGTTTCTGGTTTTTGAGGAGAATACAATGTGGTCCTTGGCTTTTATTCTCCAAGATCCACATTCACAGATGCACCTTCTTTTAAAGAAAGAAAAAAAGAGTTACTTGAAAATGTTAAAGTCTGACTAAAATTGGCATGCATTGCTTTTATTTCAAAACACCTAAGAGTTGGGCCACTAGCCAGACAAGGGGGATGAGTTACATGCATCTCACAGGGACCACCCGGATTCAAAGCTAATTTGAAGCATCACTGGAAAGAAATAAAGTTTTGCATTTGATCTTCCATCTGAAGCCAAATGACTCAGCCCACAGAGCAGCTTTAGTTGTTTAACCTTGTCGTGTGGGCACATTCGTTCACAGGAATCATTTTCAATATTGGAACTGGCTTTAGTGTTTTTGATAAAACAGCCAGTCACTTTGTCCGGTGGCAACTTCAGAAAGTGAAGGATAATGACAGAAAAAGAAAAAAAATAAGATCTGGGCTTACTTAAAATAATGCTTCCCCCCCCCCCCACAGGCTGGCTTCTGTCACTGCAGAATAACTGATGTTCTTCTGGAAAGAACGTCTCTGCACACAAGAGAAGTGCTATCCCCTGGTAGAATTAAATGTCTAAACAAAGATGAAATCATACTCTGCTGGTGTTCAAGTACTTTAGTTCCAAATAGAAACTGAATAGACTTTTCCTCCATGATAAGGGCCATTATTATCTACTGAGGCTGCTGCAGCTACTAAATGACAGGGGTTATTTTCTATTTTCAGCATCATTTTAAGAGAACCCTTTTTGTTCAACAGACAAGCCCTCCCAGTTCAAGCTTTTTCTAAAGCCCTAACATTGAAACTTTCAGTTGTCCCTAAATACAGGAAGTTGCTGCACTGCCACATAGCCCAAGGCTTGACTTCTTGACAACCAGTAAATGATTGAGACGCAATACCTGGGCCTCTTCAAAGTCTGAGTCTCCACATCTGTAAATGGTAAGATACTAATAGAGTCATGACATTAAATGCCTGGTACTTATTAATAATCATCTCTCACATTTACAGAATGCTGTGCAGTTGACAAAGTGCTTTTATGAAAATAACCCTGTGATATAGGCAGTGTAAGTATTATTAATTCCATTTTATTGAATGGTTAAACTGAGGCTGGCTCAGAGAGAGTAAGTGATTTTCTCACAGTCACACAACTAGTGAGTGGAAGATCTGGGACTCAAATGTAGGCCTCCTGATTCCAAGTCCTGGGCTCTTTTTACCATTCAACACTTTTCTTTTTTCTTTTTCTTTTTCTTTTCTTACTTTTTTTTTAAGGGACACAACACTCTATAGATGGAAATCAATAATTCTCAGAATACCTCTTTGGGAACTCCATAGATTTTTGTCAATAGATGAGAGGGCTGAGGCAAAAGAGGCAGGGTCTGCCCATTGAACATCATAAAGTAAGTCAGGGCTGCAGCTGGGACTCGTCCTCCCATCTTCTGTTTCTAATTCTCAAGTGCCATCTACTAGATCACATTTTGATCTCACATTGATGCGAATTTTGTTTGAAATTTTTGCTTTTCAAGGTGAACCTCAGGAATGACAGTTCCTGCCTACCTTTCCAGATGCATTTCCTATTACTGCCCTTCATGTACTATAAATTCCACGCAAACTAGCCTACTGGCTGTTCTCTGAACTCAATGTTTCACCTCCTGTTTCCTTGTCTTTGCATGGGCTGTTCCCAATGCCTGAAATCTCCATTCTCTATTCAAATCCAAGTTTTGGAATTTTCTAGTGTCCTTCAAGACCTAACACAGGTGCCACCTCTTCCAACTGAAGCCAAATGAGTCAGCCCACAGAACACTGAACCTTGTTATACAGCCTATTTGTTCACATTAATTATTTTCAATATTGGACCTGGCTTCAGTGTTTCTAATAAAATAAGTAACCACTCTGTCCCATGACAGCTTTTTTGTGTCCCATAGCAAAAACTTTTCATGATCTTCCAAGTGGTTCATTCTCTCTCTCTCTCTCTCTCTCTCTCTCTCTCTCTCTCTCTCTCTCTCCCCCCCCATCTCTCTTTGTATTTACAATGTGCATTTTTTAAAAAAAATTTTTAGTGAGGCAATCAGGGTTAAGTGACTTGCCCAAGGTCACACAGCTAGTACGTGACAAGTGTTTGGTCTGAGGCCGGATTTGAACTCAGGTCCTCCTGACTTCAGGGGCGGTGCTCTATCTACTGTGCCACCTAGCTGCCCCCTTACAATGTATCTGGTCCACCACTCCACCCCCCCACCCCCAGGTAGAACTTAAGTTCCTTGAAGGCAGGGACTGTTTGATTTTGGCTTTATATCCCTAGCAACTACCACAGTGCCTGATACATGACTTAATAATGACACATGCTTAATAACAATAACAACAATAATAACAGCTAGAATTTATATGGTGCCTACTATGTACCAGGCACTATGCTAAATGCTTTACAAACATTATCTTGTTTAATTTTCCCAACAACCCTGGAGGGCAGGTGCTATTATCCCTATTTTATAGTTGAGGAAACTGAGGCAGACAGAGGTTAAGTGACTTGCCCAAGGTCACATAATAATTAAGAGTCTAAGGTAGGATTTGAATTCAGGTCTCCCTGAGTCCAAGCTCACCACTCTATCCCCTGTGTCACCTAGCTCCCTCTTTTAAATTAATAAATATTGATTGAATTAGATAGCCAAAAATTGTCACCAATATAGATAGGCCTATGCTAGAAGGCAGGGGGGCATATGTTAGGTGTCCTGTGAGTTATCCTATATTCTTTTTCTTGGGTGGGATATTAGACAGAATATAGAAGTCTATTAACCCCTAGAAATTCTGCCTATTAGACTAGTATCTGAGTTTGCCAGGTTTGTTTTGTACACTATGGACTTGGACAGCACAGTCCCTTAATCCTGAACCCTTAAAAAATGCCATAGACAGTAAGGCCAATACATTAGGTTTTGCCCATAGTTTAAATACTATTTGCTTTTTTTTTTTTTTTTTTTTGCTGTTGCTGTATTGGTAGTTCATAAGTTAACGACTATTCAGTTACAAATTTTCAAGAAAGAAAAGCTAAACTAAACAAAACAAAAAAGCTACAAATTTGCAGTAAACAAAATAATTTTTTATGCTAGAAGAAAATTGTTGACATCATCAACTTTGCCACATGACTTGTTACAGAGTAGCCTATATGGGTGAGGTCCAGAGATGGAACAGCAGGTTGAAAAGGAGATTTGAAAAGGCAGCTCTGAGGGAGGACCTAGAAGTCGAAACCACAAAAAGCTACACTCTGTGATTAAAGCACATCAGTAATGGAGAGAATTCCAGGGACACCAGATGCACCCACATCTGTTTCTGAACATTTTACACCAGAAATGGGTAAACAGCTCTGTCAAAACCACTAAAACCGAAATGCTAACAAGACTAAAAGAAGCACTTCACTGTGTGAAAATGCTGCCGTCAGAAAAAACCATATCAAGGTAGAGTTTGATAGGCATTTCCCTATGATGTGGTTTTTACCATACTTGCCAGTAATTCTTTTGTCCCCTTTCATGTCATGGCAAATGGATAGCTCTTATTTCTTGTGGGCAATATGACCCTAATGGCAAAGTAGCTCTCTTCCTTCTAGTTATAAGTTCCTCCAATATTCCTTTTATTATCAAAACACAATTTTATGAGAACAACAAAAAGGATGGAAAAATGGAGGTTATCTTTGCACTGCTGTTCTCTAAGAAGATGTTTGCGTTAACACTAAGGGTGGGGGGTACCTATGGTAGAGTCTATAACCAAGTTATTAGCCCATGTTGAGATGTCAGACATATGAGATCATCTTGGTTAAAACAGAGATGTTTTAAAAAGCCAGTTTGGCAGCTTAAGAGTTGAAACTGGCCTTCATTGCAGGAAGAAACCAGAGGCCTAATGGCAAGAAATGCTTACTTTGGTAGGGCACTAACCCTCACTCCCACTCGGGATGAACTTGCCAGATGAACAAATCCAGAAGTAAGTGAAAGACTCCAGTTTCTCTGCAGGGACACTTATCCTACTGCTTTCCTGATAGCAAAACTCCCAATAAAATGCCCATGAGTTAGATGTGAAGAGTTTTGGGTTTTTTTTAGAACCACTACCCTAAAGAAACAAGTTTAAGAAAGAAAATAGTTTTATTGTCTTTGTGGATGCTGCCCAAATCCCTTGAAAATGATATATAGTCTACCCCTCACCCTGCCATGGATAGGATCAAACTAGAGAGAGGAGATTCAACTTTTTCAACTCAATGGCCGAAAGTGAGACAATCTTATGAGATATCTTACCATGTAATTTGTGGCTAAATGTTGGAGGTAACTATTCAAAATGGGGAAAGCCATGGGGAGTGCCAGGCCTAGAATCAGGAAGACTCATTTTTCTGAGTTCAAATCTGGCCTCAGATACTTACTAGCTTTGTGACCCCAGGCAAGTCACTTAACCCTGTTTGCCTCAGTTTCCTCATCTGTAAAATGAGGTGGAGAAGGAAATGGCAAACCATCCAGTATCTTTGCCAAGAAAACCTCAAATGGGGTCATGAAAAGTCAGACACAACTGAAAAACTATTGAACAACAACCACAAAATTCGAAATGGGTTTCAGTTTGCACAGATGACCAACGTGTTCAGCATAGTGCCTGCCACACAGTAGGTAGCACTTGATAAAACTTGTTGACTGACTGACTGACAGTATAATGGATATTGAGACAAAGGTAGCCCTAGCATTTCCTGAGCCCCTTGGATGATCTCTGTAACACAGCAAGTTTAAGGAAAACTATCTCACATTTGTATAGCATTTTAACATATACAAGTACTTTCTTCACAATAATTCTATGAGGTAGATAGTCAGGCTGTCTTTATCACTGTTTTAAATATAATGAAACCAAGGGACTAAGAGGTAAAGTGATTTGTCCAAGCTAACTCAGCTAATATATGTCTAAGGAAGGCTTCAAACCCAGGTCTTCCAATTTGAGGTCCACTGCCCTTTTCTACTCTACTATCCTGCCTTGGGAAGGCTTGAGGATGCCTTTGGGTTTAAGAGCTGGTTTACTTATTTGAACTAGTCTTTAGTTAAGTTTGGTTAAGAAGTTGAGCTTTAAAAAAGTCAGAGGAAAAAAATCTGACATAAATGAAAAAATATGAAAACTCAGATACTGAGGTCTACCTGCAGTCAAACAGCCATCAAAAACCTGAACAGAGCTCAACTCGAACTGAAAATAGTACTTATTTCTTCTTTCTTCATATGTTAAATGTCAGGAGAGAATTAAATAATCAATCAACTCTTTTTTGCAGTTCCCTTATTGTTCATTGAGCATTTCACTTACTGCCAAGATGATCCTGTCCCTCTCCATGAGGTCGGCCAGTTTGTGAAGGAGCCTGCCTCTGCTCAGGGCATCCATTTGTCTCCATAGAGATCCCCTCTGGAATGCTGCTTTTGCGGCCTCCACAGCCTTATCTATATCAGGCTAAGGGACCAAAACAACATCTTTAAGTTACAGAGAAAATTTTAAAACACACATGCAACTTAAAAAACACTTATGCAAAGAATTCTTAACTTAATTTTTGTACCTTTTCCAATGTCTCTAAACACAACAACAGCTAAGATGTCACCTGAAGAACTGTCCAAATTATATTTTATGGACATGATAGGGTATAGAATGTGGAATGAGAAGAAATATGACATTGATGGCAGAAGGGGGTAGGGTGAGGAGTTGGAAGACCAGATTGACGCTTTTTTTTTTAAATCACCTTCCATCCATATTTTTCCTTGCTGTTACCAAAGTGTAAAAATATTTCATTTGCTCAGAGTGGCACATTTAAAGAACCGTCATAGGCTAGATCACAATTTTATAGATATCTTCAAGAAAAAAAAAACAAGCCAACAACTCTCCATGGTTTACAAACCTACATGGAAAAAGAATATTAAAATATTGTCCTGGCAAAGAAATGTATTCTAACACTAAAGACAGGAGAAATGATACCCTTATTAAAACCCAGAACTAGCTATTTGGAAAATTCAATATCCTATGATGGGAGTGGGAGGTGGGGCAGGGAATGGGAAATGCCTACTAAGATGAGATACATTTAAGAATGATACTTTTCTCTTCTCAAAAAGAAAAAATAAGTTAATATTATAAAGAACAATATCACTCGTACTTATATTTCATCAACTGTATTTCCATTTCCTCCACATACTTCTACAATACGCCATTCTCTAAGTCACCCCAGAAATGCTGCTTTCACTCCACCCTATGCAGTCCCTGATTCTCCTTCCTTCCAGCTATAGATGTGGCAGCAACCTAACAGAATGACCACACTTCAATGCTACTCAGATACAGTGAAGAAGACTCACTGACATCTACTTTTTTAATGGCACATTTTGGCCAAGGGGGTCAAAAAAGTGAGACTGAACATCCAAAATGTCTACCTTAAAATGCTCTACTAGAATTTTCTTTCTTTTTGGGGGGGAGGGGGGAAGGGAAATGTGGAAGCCAAGGTTAGGAAAAGAAAACAACTTGGAAGAGATGAACCCCAAACTTTGTGGTTTGAATACAGCTTAACTAGTTACAAGTGTGGCCAGCAATGAAGATGGAGGTGAAACTACCCAAGGACAGAGAGCTGTGGGTACGTGAAGGGACTGGGCCTTTTATTTAAATGAATTCAGAGTGGGTTAGCTGACTGAAGAAGAGATAAACTGGACATGATGCAAGGCAGAGAGCTAGCTCTTTCCTCTTCCTTCTCCTTATTGCTGCACACTAAAATCTGATCTTGTTATAAATTATAAGCTTATGGAGGTGGTAATTTCATCTCTTCCATATACACCTGATCTACAGTTGACATTCAGTAACACATTATTAATAAGGTCAGAATGTTACAGTTTTCCTTGGGGCTAAGTGTATATGGTTTCCCACTCCGAGCTAGCTAGCATTTCCTTCTTAAGTGAATCCAAATGATTCTTCTCCCTCCTTGGCAAATACATGCAAAATGGATTTTTGTAGCTTTGAAATAACCATGAACTTTATAACAGATAGGCCCAGAAACTATACAAATTCTATAGAATAATAAATTATCATGAGAAACACTGTAGAATATAGAAGAATAATAAATCAAGTTCAAACTCTTTTGTTTACAGATAAGAAAAATGAAGGCTAGAGAAGTCTATTGGCTTGCCCACTACACAGATAGGATTCAAACTCAGGTGTCTTGACTATAAGTCCAGAACTCTCTCCATGCACCCCACATTAACCCCTCATGACCATATGAGGTAACACAGATTTTATTGTCTTCATCTTACAAATGAGGAAACTGAGGTTCAGATAGGTTACATTCATGGTCACACAAATGGTAATTGTTAGAGGCAAGATTTGAACCCAGATCTAGCATGCTTTTTACTATTAGTCTACCTCTATGCTTTGTAAATTGATTATATCCCACTATCTGAACTTCTCCCCCCACCCAAGCTTTTACATTTTTGAATAGAAATTAATGTTATTCAATTAAAATGTAAAATTGTGAAATACATATTACCTGACCATTAATATTTACTTTTCTTCTGACAAGCATATACTTCAATAGGTCAAGGATCTATGATTTCACTTGTGTGGATACTCCCTCCACCCGTGCAGATTGCAAGTCCCTTAACAACTTAGAAAATGTTCTTTATAATTCACAATTGTTTTTATTTTTAAAAAAATCATCACCTAATGGCCAAGTCTCCTAACTTAGTTACATTGGTTCTCAGGTAATAAGACAGTTTTTTCAGCCTAGTGAGTGCCCCTGCTGGGGTTTATGCTGTGCCGGTAGAACCTTTGAAAACTCAGGATCTCCTTCATGGCTTCCAGGGTTATTAGACTAAGACACTGGGAGATCCAACATATCCCAGGTACTGCAGATCTGGAGAGTGATATCATTTATTTTGGAAGGGGCTTGACCTCTGATTTCACTGATAGAAGGAGGCTCGAGTGAGAAAACTCCCTCCATCAGTGCAGATCAAAAACTGAGAGGCTATAATTTATTCAGAAGCACATCATCAGGATGTGTCAGAGGCAGGTTCTTTGTATATTGTGCCATACTACTATATATACATACATATACATACATACACACAAACATACATACATGTATATATACATACATACACACCAACACAAGTGTATATGCATATCTATGTACATATACACACATATTTTATGCATAGAAAATATGTATATATAATATGTCCGATATAGCTAGTTCTGGGCTCCGATAAATATTTATTTCTTCTGTCCTTGGTGTTAGAATACATTTCTTAGCCAGGATGATATTTCAATATTTTTTTCCATCTAATTTTGTAAACTTTCCAGAGTTATTGGGGATTTTTTTTTTGGGTGGTGGCTTTTAAATCAGTCAAGAAGTATTTATTAAGCACTTACTATGTGCCAGGCACCAGGTTGAGTATAGGAAAAGCAAAAATAGGATAGAGAAAGGCAAAAACATAGTCTTTGCTCACATTCTAATGGAGGAAAAGCATATTAATAACTATATTCTAATAAGATATATACAGTATAAATGGAAGCTAATCTCAGAAAGAAGGCACTAGCAGTGAAGGAACCTGTGATCTAGCCTCTAATAGTTTTTGAATGTACAAAATGAGCAAATGTGACACTTCGATTATAGAGATTGCAAATTTTGGTTACAATTTTATGAATGCATGATGTATGCATATATGTACATATGTATACACACATATACATATATACATATATATATACATACATTGCATAGCATATTAGAAGCAGTGAAGTAGCATTGGACTGCTAGAGGTAGGTTAGGGATATATATACACATTGAGATAAACAGAAAAAAGAAAGACAGATATAGACATCTATATCTATATACATATGTGTGTATATGTATATATATGTTTATACATGCATGTATTATTATGGAGAGGGAGAGAGAAAGAAAGAAAGAAAGAAAGAAAGAAAGAAAGAAAGAAAGAAAGAAAGAAAGAAAGAAAGAAAGAAAGAGAGAAAGAAAAAGAGAGAGAGATATACAATTTGTCATCATGGATAATCAGTCCCAGAATCAGGAATATCTGGGTTCAAGTCCTGCCTCTGACACATACTGACTCTAACCTAGACAATAAATAACCTCCCAGGCTCCAAGAAATTCTTTAAGGCTGTAATTTGCATAGAAGGTAATGATCTGCATAGGTTAAGTTCCTTTCTGGATGCTACCTACACTGATGAAATCAGAGATCTGGTCCTGTATATGTATATGTTTGTATGTTGTATGTGTATATAAACACATACATATTAATATTCAGCACAGAAATATAAAATATATTAAAAGTATGTATTGGTTTCTAAAACTTCACATTTTATATAAAGCTAGCTGGTGCAGTAGAGTGCTGTCTCAGAAACTTACTAGCTGGGTGACCGTAGGTAAGTTACTTGAAACCTCACTCAACCTCAGTTTCCTCATATGTAAAATGAAGATAATAACAGGATCTACCTCATCAGATTTTTGTGAAGACTAAATTAGACAATATATATGAAGTGCTTTGTCCAAACCTTAAAGTACTATTTTAAAACTAGCTATTATCATTATTGTTGTTGTTATGAAACTCACTACTAATAGCAACACTTTACTTATTCAGGTAGTATATTGTTTTGGGGTTACATTCCTTAATATTTTCAGTTTCAAAAATTGATTAAAAACTTTTTCTTACCATGTTAAAAAGACCACTGCATTCCTCCCTTATATTATATATATAATATATATATCTCAAAGGAAAATGACTCACATGTTTCCAGGGGAGTTATCCATAATTGATCCCATTCTCTCTAATCTGTTTAAACAAGCATGCCAAAATGTTTAACTATCACAGACCTTAAACCCATGTTTGAGCCAGTTGTATTTCATAGTAAACTTTTTCATTATTCTTTCACTCAGGAAAAAAAAATTGTGTTTTTTTTTAAATCCCAACAACCTACCTTGTCTCCTTCTTCCACTTCACATATTTTCTCTACAGTTGAAGGGTTATAGGTTGGAAACTTTTTTCCACTCTTGGATTCATGCCACTCGTTGTTGATAAATATCTAACCAGGAAAAAATTGTTATAAGCAATAAGGCTAAACAAGTTTTTTTTGGTTATAAACTTAAAGGAACTAGTTCCCTTCTTTCCTTCCCCACCCATCTCCTTATCCTCTTGCCCAAATAAAAGGTAAAGTCTGTTGTGAAATATAGGTGTGTGGACATATGTTTTTAAATTCACAATTCTGCATGTCTAGCAATGAGATATGGTCAAATTTTTATGAGAAGTGTAACTCACTTTACATAGTAGGCATGTTTCTGAAAAGTTGTACACAAACTGAAATTTAGTAAAAGAGTTTGCTATTTAGTGGAACATATGAGAGAATCTATTTACAAAATAAAACATTCTGTACTCCAAACACAATTTTTTAAAAAATCTGGATTTTTCATATAGGATTTGCTTAAATAGGGCATACTAATAAAAGACAACAATTGGGTAATGAGAATAAATTCTCATTCTAAGTTCTAAGTTTTCCAGTCACCAAAGCAGACAAAGTGGATATCACAAAGTTCATACATTAATGTTGAAATGCTATAATTATAGGTGTTCTCTTCAGTCCCTAACTCAGAATCTACTTACTTTTCTTTTGCATACAATTCTAGCATGCTTAAATATCACAGCACAGAATCTTTGAGGTGGAGAGAATCTTAGAGATCCTGTCCTTTGACATGACTCTCTGGTTTTATACTCTATAACATATTAGAAGTAGCAAAGTGGAATTGGACTGATAGAGGTAAGCGATCTGCAGCAATGAGAAGTGAGAGCTGGTGGCCATGGGAGAGGCCAGAAAAACTATGCCCGAGAACTCCAAAAGCAGGTTAGGGTCATTTAGTGTCAGGGCAAGCATTCTTACACACAAAATAGACCTTGGACAATTAATATTCTTAATGATAACCCTGATTCACAAAGGCAAGATTAAATTATATTCTGTGAACTTTCTCGAGAAAGTATATCATTAAAAATGTCTTTCAAAAATGGTTAAGGTTTTTTTTTTTTTTTAAATGTCTTACTCCTATAAGAAATGAGAAAACTCACTGGTTGTGGTATACTACATTTTCCAAGGAGGTCATAAAAATTAAGTATTTCCATACAATTGAATCTGGAATATAAAAAAGGACTTTGCTCTATTAACATCACAAAGGTTTGGTAAGAAAATGACCCTCAAGAATTACCTTATGATAATGTATCTACCATCTATTCATAGAGTTGGAAAGACTATTGCTCTGTGAAAGCAAAACAGACATCACATGTTCAGTCCCATCATTCTCTATTATTCTTCAATGTGGTAGTCACGGGACAAAAACAAAGAAAATCTCAAAGGATACCTCCAAAGACCATCTTTCAATATGAAGTCAAGCTGCCCCACATGGGCAAGAGGACAATGACAAGTTTATTCTTTTATCCACTGCGGTATATTCATGTGTTATAACACCGAATATATATCCCATAGTTACAGTGAGACATAAGAATAGAAAAATGGTATATTAAGATAGGTACATGTATGTCCTCTAAAAAGACCATGTAAAGGCTGGATAATCATTAATTTGGGATTTGGTAGGGGGAATTCTTGGTCCACCACAGAAAAAGCTAGATTAGCCCCTAAGGTTGCTTTGGAGATTTTGTGACTCTACCTAAGATGACTCCAAGGTTATTTGTAGGTCCAACAGTTTATGACTCAAAAAGAATATGAAATTATATTTGTAACTACATTCTTATTTAGATTTAATAAAGTAGCTTTCTTTATGTAACACTATTTAGTAATTCAACAAACCTTTATTAAGTTCCTAAGCACTAGGCACTGAATGAGGCATTGGGAACACAAAGCCAAAAAAAAAAAAGGTGGGGGAAGTCCTTGCCCTCCGGGAGTTTACAATCTGCTACCAAATCCTACAAAGAGCTGTTAGTGCATTTTTATACTTTAAAATGCAGGAAAGGAAGGGCAAAGATAGCCTACAGGCTCTCATTCATGATCAGACTATTATTATAACAGCAGAGATACTGGATTTGCAATTTCATTACTGCCAGTGAGTATTTAAAAAAAAAAACAAAAAAACACTTAATGGATGTAGGATCACAAGTTTAGAACTGGAAGGAGTCTTAGAAATCTTCTAGTCCAATAACCTTTATTTTACAAATGATGAAACTGAGGCCCATAGAGGTTAAGTCACTTGATCATGGTCACACAGGCAGTAAGAGAGCCAGAATTTGAACTCAACTCCTCTGACTCCAAATAAACCACTCTCTTCACAGCAGCATGTCTTCCCCCAACATCAGGACTACTCAGCTGAAACACATACCACGATTCTTTTTTTTTTTTTTGAAGTAAGTTATACACATGAAGAAGTGCTTTACATAAGAGAGAGCTGAGGAAATTGTATCTTTTTAAAAGGCAGATAAAACTAGTATATTAATGAACCATGAAATCATAAATATTATCTCTGCTGCCTGGAGGGAGTTGTTAATAGGGAAAATGGACCCAAAAAAGTGAAGGGCTGCTACTTCTGGGATCTGGAAAGGAATCTCTTTAAACAACCCAGGATCACAAAGCATGAACTACTAGGAGGCAGAAGTTAAACCTGAAAAGAAATGAACAGATAACAAGTTTTTCTTCCCCAAGATACACGATTCTATAAATTGGTAAAAAAAAAAAAAATCAGGCCCCTTCTAGTTCTAACTCTATAATCCCATGCTCTTACGAAGCTAATCAAACTTAATTCCATTGTTGTCCAGTCTTGTAGCACTAAGCATTAAAAAAAATATAATAATAACGTGTAAGACTGTTTGCATTTAGCCACTCAAACCACATCGGGCTCTTCTTTCAGTTCACCTTCCCTTCTCCGAATTTCACTTAAAATTATTCTTGGTGTTCTTTACTTGATTCCTTCATATTTCTCTCTTTCTCCCATTTCCTCTGTCTTCAGTGTCCAAGTTCATAACTTGATTGCTTTCTTTTCTCTATAGTACATTTTTTTTTGAGGAAATGGTGCCCACTCTTACATACTGAGGCCGACTCACCCTGCTGCCACATCAATATTAATCCCCTACCTGTTCAGAAAGAAACTTTTTAAATGAGTCTCTTCAAAGGTAGGTTTCTCTGTAAATTAGAATGGGAGTAAAATATAGGAAGAAGAAAATGAAATTTCATTAAAAGAAAACAACAGGAAGGGGGGAAAAATGAGGAGTTAGGAAGACCTGACTCACGTAGTAAAGATTCAGTTCAGTACTATATAAGGTCTGGATTTGTCCATCTATAATCCTTAAAATCTTTTGCTGCATGTGATTTTAGATAGTACATACAGAAAGTACATTAATGATGTTTACCTAGCAAAAAAAAAAAGTACCATTATTCCGCTTTACTCATCCGTATTTATTGCCAGATTTCTAGATGGAGATTATTCTATTTGGGCTTTTTAGAGGGTCACTAAGAACTTTGTGGGAATTGTCCTGCAATTAAGAATTGGCTTTAGAAGGGACTTTAGGAATCGACTAGTCCAATACCCTATCTGATCCAAGAGCCCTCTGGAAAACATCTCCCTAACAGTGCCCCTCCAGCCTCTTGAATATCTCCAGTGATAGCTATATTAATAGCTAGCTTGATTATTCTGGAAAATATTTTTAAAATTCAAGTAATGATACAGTAATGTTAGCCTTCTCATTTTTGTAGTCTATATATAGGTATATATATACACACATACATATATACACATACATATATATACATATATATACACATACATATATACACACGCATATATGAATATATATGCATTAAAAGCATTTGTATATCTATGCAAGTATATATGTGTATCTATACATACACACGTGTGTGAAAAGTCCTAAAAACTAAAGAATAGCATATTCCTGTCATTGCCTAGAAATTTTTGGCTTTTCTCATTATAAAATTTAATACTATTTTTGTTAGTTTGAAATAGCCTCATAAGTTCTCATCTCTATTGGTTATAGAGGCCTTTGAATACAACATTAAATTAAATGTCAAGCCTAGTTATGTATATATACATACACATATACAGATATATATAACAGACATCAAGAATTATATACCAAGAGAATAAATAAAATAACAATCTCACTAAATGGTCAGCAAAGTTCTTTGTTCAATAAAAAGTATTTGAGAAGATTGGAATGGCTACTTTCAAAAGCAGAATTGGAAGAGGAGAACATACAAGCACCTTGTCTGTAGTATTTGATAGATATGAATAAAATAAAATCTATGCATATACATGGATTGATAGTAAGTAGTAAAGATTGGGAGTGGGAAGGAAGAAGGGAGCAAATCTAGAAGCTAACAAATATTCATACTTAATCAACCAGCAATGATTTTCTAAATGCTTGTACTCTTCAAAGACTTGTAAGACCTGCTAATGCTACAAAACTACTACCCACTATAATGTGAAACTCAAAATAAGATAGGTCTCCCTTGGGCCTCATGAAATCAGAAGCTTTGATTAAGAAACTCAAAGGTGTCTTCTTTTCAAGCCCCACTCTCCTACTGAAAGTGCGAGAAAGACCTCACTGTGCAGTTTTACATTTACATTTTACGTTACATTTTGTTTTGCATTTAACGGCATTAACTAAGCACAGACTGCAAGAAGTGTCCCCCAAAAAGTGTCCCAACTTCACACAATACCTTGTATCAGAGGATGAAACAAAATTATATGCATCTTACAGTTTCCTACAGGTCATGTAAATCAGGAGTTCTTAATCTGGGGTCTGTGAACTCATTAAAAAAATACCTTGATAGTATATCAGTATAATTATTTTCCTTTGTAATCTTATGTATTTTGTGCATTTAAAAACATTATATTGAAAAGTGTCCATAGGCTTCTTCAGACTGTCAAAGAGGGTCCATGACACAAAAAGGTTAAGAAGGGATGTAAATCATCTTCCTTGTGGAGTTCACAATCATAACTTCTGAGCTTACTGTTTTACAAAGGAAAGTCCATTGTATTTCACTAAAAATAGATTCTCTTTGGCTAAAGAACAAGTGAAGTTTTACTGAGATCCCAAGAAAATCTGCTGAATCTTTTGACTCCCTTATACACAATTTAAACCAGCTGCTATTTTCAAGGGGCTGAGATCAGATGCCATCATTAGTAAATTTTTATATGTGGTATTTTTATGGGCTATGAAAGGACAGATTAGTAAATATACCATTGACCAATAAGATACGATTCTTATGTATTTTTAATTAAATATATTTCTTTGGGAATTTTAATAGTTAAATTCTGCATAAATTCAACACAAACGTTTCCTTCTTTGTTTCCCATTTCTCATAAACAGTATGTTTCCGGGAGACTCAGAATTATTTAGATTTCAAATATTATCAGTCCTCTAAGAACTGGTACTTCTGTGTTCTCTAAGTAGCTCAATAAACCTCACTAAGCCTGGTTTTGTTTAACATACAAAAACATAACCCCCGTTCCATGTAGCAGCGAACTTAAAAAAGTTTTAAACACACACCACAAGATCAATAAGATTTAACAGAGCTTCTGAATCACAACCGACCATGCAATGTCTGCTATTAGTTAAAAGCGGCAGACAGATCATGCAGCCACGGGAAGTGCAACAACACGTCGAAGACCAGAAAAGGTCTCATAATTGACAGGCAGAATCATTAGCTTGTAAACTGCCCTCGAGGGAGGAGGAAGTTTCCCCGTCTACCTGCCTACCCAGAAAGGGACTGGCTACCTGTGGGATGTGAGGAATAACTCTTAGCTTTTTGGGTTAACGAGAAGTTGAAGATTCGCCACCACCTCCAGCCAAGGTCCCTCTTTTCATATCTGGCTTGAAATGTTCATCCACTGAGTGAAGTTTCTGGGAGAGTGTGTTTGCTTTTTGGGGACACCTCTGGGTGGCTGTTAATACGCTTTCAAAAACTGCCCGAGTTTCTTGTTAAAGAGACGTTTGGGTGTCTTAGGAATACAAAACTGCTTTCGCCTACTAAGTGACGCCCACCCGGGTTCAACGACCAGCCCTTTCTTGGGGAGACGAAAGGTTTCTGGGGGACACGGTCAAGAGAGGGTGGTGAGAGCCTGTCACATGTGATCAGAGAGTCCAGAAGCCATAACATAGAGCCTGATAGGAGCACTCCGAGTTTTCGTTTTCTTTTTCCTCCTGACACTTAATTGCTGCTCCCGCCCTGCAAGGGGCTGCCCGGTGAGGGGCTGAGTGCCCACTGGACCCGCTCAGCCGACGTGCACAGACTCCAGGACTCACCTTTGTGTGCTTGACCTCCAGGTTCCTGATGGGATGCGGCAAGGGAGGCATCTTCTTGTCTGGTTGTCCGTTCTCCAAGGTTCCATTGGTCGTGGCCATGACCCTTGTCTCTTTCTCTTTCTCCTCCTACTCTGCTCCGCGTCTGCAGCGTCCCGGTGTTGGGACTGATGGATGCGCTTCGGAGGGTGACAGCTCCCAGCGCCTGTTTTATGAAGGACTCCACGCCTCTTGGCCAGAGGGGACTGCTCTAATTGGTTTCCGGAGGAGACCCCGCCCCACTACACCACCCCCGCCATGCCTCTCTGGAACTCGAGTCCCCCTCCCTTCTCCAGCTTTGCTCCTGGGGCAGCCCAGTGCAAGCTGCTCGCTCGGCGTGGTGTAATCCGCCTCTGGGGCTGGCAGCACAGCCGGGCTGGAGTCGGGGAGAGCTCCCGTGCCATTTGCAGCGACGGGAAAGCTGGTCCTGCTCCTCCCCGCGGAGGAAAAGAGCCCTCGGAGGGAATTCCCTCCACCTCTGGCTTAGGAGAAAACTTTCTTTTCCTTCCTCCCCCGGAAGCCCCTCAGCTTTGAGAGCTGGGATGCTACCCCCCAACGAAGGAAGAGGGCTGGTTGCAAGTCGCTGCGGCTTCGTTTCTCTAGAAATGATCCCCCTGAGAAAGACAAGCTGAACTCAAAGCCCCTAAAGCACCTGTTCTCCCCCCACTTCAGCCTTCCCGGTCCCCGCATTTAATGAGCGAGTCTTAGAGGGGATCTAAAAGCCCACAGTGACTATTGAAAGCCGTCTTAGCTCCCGGGCTGAGAGGCAGTGATGCGAGCGGGTAATGCGCGTGTTAAATTCACTGTTTACACTCTCCGTGCGCTTATCCTACAAGGCCGGGAGGGAGACCCAGGGGCCGACCGAGATCTGAACTGAATGCACTTTGTGCCAGGAATAGGTGAACTTGTTTCTCGAACCCCAGGTGGCCTCACACCCCATGGCTGAGTAGGGGGAACGCTTGAATCAGAGCTCCCTCTTGGCACGTCTGAGAACATCTGTGCTAATCTCCAACAAAGTTGGTGCTGATTTTCTTGAGCTGGAATCATGCTGTTGAATTCCCTGGTTTGCAGGTGGCTAAACAACTAAGCCGGAGCCCCTGAATAAGTTAAAAAGCATGACTCCTAGCAAGTGAACCAGAAAGAGGGTAATTACGATGACGTTTTTTCATGAAATTGCCCCAAGGTCAAGGACCTTTCCCAACCTACAGGAAAGAGCCTGGCCTTTTCTTTCCCATTTACCAGCTTTGACCACTACCTACGGGGTAGAATGGAAAAAAAGAAGAAATGAGTTGTAGTGTGTATAGTGACTTCTCAACCAGTTTGCATATTTGCTAGGGGATAGACTCTGCCTCTTCTAAAGATCTCGACATTAAGCAACCCCAATAGTAGTATACCTGTCTTTCTGACTCTACAAGGCTAAAGGTGTGGCACTTCTGTTTTAGCACCAGATCCATTAATTTCTTTTGTTTTGTTTTTATTAATCTCTGGCCTGTGATCTGGCTTTGTGGACAGGTTTGGGTTTGGGTCTGGTGTGTCTGCTTTACTTTGTATAATTACAGGGTGTCCCAAAAAAGTCTTAGTGCAGTTGGAAGCTACCAAAACTTCCAACTGCACTAAGACTTTTAGGACACACTTTTTCTGAGATAGGCTAAATACTTTCATTTGTATTATCTTGTCGAATTTGTTCAGAAACAGCAAATTCTTCTCATTTTACATGTGGAGATTAGAGTAGGAGCTCTTCCACTAAGTTGTGAGAGCTGTAAGGGTAGGGACTGTTTTCACCTTTCTTTGAATCCCTGGCCCTTAGAATAGTGTCTGGTAGGTAGGAGGCACTTAGTAAAATGCCTCTTGAGTTGACTGTGAAGAAACTGATGCTCAGACCCCTTAAGTTACTTGCTCATACCCTTAGCACTTTCCACCATTTGAATCCCTACCTTTCCTTTACCTGATCCCTCAGTCAGTAACAAATGTTTCCACCTTGGATCCCATATAACATGTTTTGCATCTCTGTAACGCATTTATACTGCATTATTTTACATTACAGTTTATCTCCCATAGAATTTAAGTTCCATGAAGGGAGGGACTATTCATGTTTTCTCTGAGTAACACTAGAACCTAGCACTGCCCTGTGCCTAGCACTTAATAGATACTTAATAAATACTTGTAGAATTTAGCCTTCCTTATACCTGCCATATTCCTCTATTAGGCTATAAGCTTTACAAAAATAGCAATCACATTTTACGTGATAGCATGCATATGCTTTAAGGTTTGCAAAGCACTTTACAAATACCTCATTTGATCTTCACAATAACTCTGAGAAGTAGGTGCTCTTATTATATCCATTTTGCAGATGGGGAAATTGAGGCTGGGAGAGGTTAAGTGACTTGCTCAGGGTTATATAGCCAAGTAAGTATCAGGGGCACCATTTGACCTCGGGTCTTCCTGACTGAAGGCATAGCATTATATCCACCATGCCACTTAGCTGCTTCTAAGCTTTGTATCTGCCTCATCAAGGAGCATACTGCTCTGCATTTCCTAGGGTTTTTTTTTTATTAAATATTTGTTTGAAATGAACTAAAATGAAAACACAGGTCTTCTGATACTTTGTTTCTACATGCTATTCAACCATCTGATTGTTCAAATGATTCTGCTCTCTAGAAATTTTTCTTGGTACATGAAATCTGAAAGAAAGGGGTCATATTAATTAAATCCTCAAGAACAGTCCTCTATATCAGTGGAAGAAACCTATTGGCTCACCCAAATATAATAGAAATAAGAGATTTGCCTTCCCATTACACTTCTGAGGGTTGGTCCTAATTGATTTGAGGACCTAAATATAGTGGGATGACTAAATCTGGGGTCATAATCTGCTGTTTCTTTGCTAAAGTTTGCCACTAAAAGCCCACATCTATCCCTTTGTCTGTCCTTTTCTCTATCCCTTTCATATATACATCTCTTCCTTTCTTGTTAAACAAGGTAGGGGACCTCAAGTTCTAGAATTGGGTAAAAAAAATTTCAGTGTGGATAACCAAGAATTAATACTTACTTGACAACCTGGAAACCAAACTACCAGTTCCTACTGTTGTCATTTTCTGCAACTATTAAAAAGGGTCATCAGTTCAATACATATTTTTCTAAGTCACATCTGACCAGGAATGGGGTTTCTTAAACAATCATAATCAAGTATTTAATTTCCCATTATATACCTGAGGGTAGGTAGGTGGTGCAATGAATAGAGTGCCAGGTCCAGAGTCAGGAAGATTCATCTTCCTGAATTCAAGTCTGGTCTCAGACACTACTAGCTGTGTGACCTTGGGTAAGTCACTTAGTCCAGTTTGCCTCCATTTCCTCATCTGTAAAATGAGCTGGAGAACGAAATGGCAAACCACTCCAGTATCTCTACCAAGAAAATCCCAAAGAGAGTAGGAGATGACTGAAAATAACTAAAGAACAAATTATATACCAGGCACTGCACTAGACCTGCTAAAACAAGTACTATGAATAAAACAATGCCTACTAGCAAAAAGCTGACAATTCTAATTTTAACACAAGGTCAACACCACTGATTAATTAAATTGTTAAATATTCTGATGATATTACTTTTAAAAATATGTGTTAAAATATATGAAAGGTGAGGTGGCCTGGATCTGTGATTTCATTGCTGCAGGGAACTCCCAGTGTGGAAATTTCCTCCACTCATCCACATCAGCAATTCCTGTATAACGTAAAGCTTTAGGGACTTAACTGGGGAAACTGAGAGGTTAAATGACTTACCAGTATGTGTTAGAGGCAAGACTTAAACCAAAGTTATTTCTGAATCCAAGGTCAATTCTCTATGGACTTCAAAACACATAGCTTTTCAATGATTTTACTATAATGATAAACTAAGTGTCCCATGTGCATTACTTATTCCTCTGTGTTCTGTAATCTGGATTGATAAGTAAAAGGGAAGAAATAATGTAGAAAATGGGAATATGATATCCTAGGTCACTGGGGGTCCTGCCTTCACTTTGGGGTCATAGCTTCTGCAGGGCTAGGTGGTGCTAAAAGTAGGTGCTAAAAGTTCTGTGTGATAAGACCATTCCCAGAGAAGATCCCTTTGCAAGATTAGCCTTGGGAACCTGCAATATACAGTTTAAGCCACAGCACAGTGCCCAGAACATAGTGGGCACTTAATAAATGCTTATTGACTGACAGACTGGTGTTCATGTTAAAAAAAAAATTGAAGATTCCATATGGAAACTTGAATCATTTTGTTAATTTATTTTTTAGTTTGGGAAACTTAACTAATGCTGTTACTCAAAGCATCACTTGTCCAGGGGGTATAGGCTTGCTTGACAGTTATCAGCTTGCTACTCATAAATTTTGAAGTGTGGAACCGACTTCTGCACGGCAGGCTCGAACACACACACACACACACACACACACACACACACACACACACACCCCTACTTCAGGCAGCAGGCCAATTACTGTGAGTTGGGTCCCGATGTAATCACACCTATCCCCCCACTTCTTGATCTTAACACCTACATGATACCAGGAGACTGAGGTCAGAGCTGCAATACTCAGCCACAGAACACAGCAGAGAAACTGCATTCATCATCATTGTGCAAAGGGACTTAGTGCAGGAGAGAGAATGCTAGCTCTGGAGGTGGAAGATAAGGGTTCAATTGCTGTCTCTGCCAGCTGCCACTGGCGTTATCTTGGGCAAGTTACTTCACTTCCAAGGGATCTTAGCTTCTTCATCTGACAAATCAAGGGATTGAACTAGATAACAGCTAAGGCCCCTTTTCTTCTATATCTATGATCCTAAAAATTAGTAAGGGGAGGTGAGGAGGAGAGAAGCTGATATTCTACATGATGAAAATAATAAGGATTTTTTCCCTTTTAATCTCTACCTAGGGCAATGATTACTATAGTTTTCCAATGTAAGTCTCACCGACAAACTGGGAGGGAAGTAGGGAAATACTATTCTTATTTGTTATGAATGAACAAAATGAGGCATAAAGATTGAACTGACTTGCCCCACATGTAATAGTGTCAGAAACTGGGTCTCTAGAATCCTATGAATATAGTATCTTAGATTTCAAGCTGGAAGAGACCTTAGAAACTATTAAGTA